CTGAGGCCGTGAAACAGCCTCCTGTCCCTGCAGGACCATCCTCATGATGGGCCGCTACGTGGAGCCCATTGAGGACGTGCCTTGTGGAAACATCGTGGGGCTGGTTGGCGTCGACCAGTTCCTGGTGAAGACTGGAACCATCACCACCTTCGAGCACGCTCACAACATGCGGGTGATGAAGTTCAGCGTCAGCCCTGTGGTGCGAGTGGCCGTGGAAGCCAAGAACCCTGCAGACCTGCCCAAACTGGTGGAGGGGCTGAAACGCCTGGCCAAGTCTGACCCTATGGTGCAGGTGAGCCTGCAGGAAATCCCAGTCCTGCTCAGGAGTCGCTGTGGTGCTTCTGGTTGTGGTTGCAGCTGGAGAGCTGGCAGGAGGGGCTGCAGTTATTGGTTCCAGCCCTCCCAGAGTGGGGAGGAATGGAGCGTTCCTCCCTCATGCTGACTCATCCCCAGAACTGCAGAAGGGGTTTCTAAAACAGTTCTATGAGTCAAGGCAGAAAATCAGAGGCCGTCAGGCAAATGCTGGTGCTTCACATGCGGGAGCTTCTGTTGCTATCAGCCCAAAGTCTCAGCTGCTGTCTTAACGTTTGGGTTTTGGTTTTCTTTTTTCCAGTGCATCATTGAGGAGTCTGGAGAGCACATCATTGCTGGCGCAGGGGAGCTGCACTTGGAAATCTGCCTGAAGGATCTGGAGGAGGACCACGCTTGCATTCCTATCAAGGTACGGCTGCTGTGTGCAGCCTGGCAGGCTGAGCGAGGGGCTGTGAAGCAGCGTGCGTTGATGGCAGCGACACACAGCTGGAACAGCAGGGGCTGCTGTTGAACCCGCAGCATAGCAGCTCTGTGCTGGCAGCCTTTGTGCTGCTGGGAGCTGCAGGCTGGTGGCTCACAGCTCTTCCCTGCTGTTTGTCGCTGCAGAAATCGGATCCCGTCGTGTCTTACCGTGAGACGGTCAGCGAGGAATCCAACGTGATGTGCCTTTCCAAGTCCCCCAACAAACACAACAGGCTGTACATGAAGGCCCGGCCCTTCCCTGATGGTTTGGCTGAGGACATCGACAAGGGCGAGGTCTCTGCTCGCCAGGAGCTGAAGCAAAGAGCTCGTTACCTGGCCGAGAAGTACGAGTGGGACGTCACCGAAGCCAGGAAGATCTGGTGCTTCGGTCCTGACGGCACCGGGCCCAACATCCTGACCGACATCACCAAGGGAGTGCAGTACCTGAACGAGATCAAGGACAGCGTGGTGGCTGGCTTCCAGTGGGCCACCAAGGAGGTAGGGGTGGTGCGTGGGGCCGGGCTGCCGCGGGGCAGAACAGCGCGGTGCCTCGGTGGCCGCGAGCTTGGGGGGCTGCTGGGAGCTCCGGAGCCGCTGCCTGCAGCCGCGACTCGGAGGTGGGAGGAGCGGGGCTCCCCTCTGGCCCCGCTGCTGCCCCACAGCCCTGCCTTTGCTCACCCAGGGCGTCCTGTGCGAGGAGAACATGCGCGGCGTCCGCTTCGATGTGCACGATGTGACCCTGCACGCCGATGCCATCCACCGCGGGGGCGGCCAGATCATTCCCACTGCCAGGAGGTGCCTGTATGCCTGCGTGCTCACCGCCCAGCCCAGGCTCATGGAGCCCATCTACCTTGTGGAAATCCAGGTAAGGCAAATCCTCTCTCCCCACCCGAGGAGAGCGGAGGTGGGCGGTTTGCAGCCCCCGACTCCTCTGTCCCTCAGTGCCCAGAGCAGGTGGTCGGTGGCATCTACGGTGTGCTGAACAGGAAGCGTGGCCACGTCTTTGAGGAGTCCCAGGTGGCTGGCACCCCCATGTTCGTGGTCAAGGCCTACCTGCCTGTCAACGAGTCCTTTGGTGAGTGTGGGGCGGCTCCTCCTGCTCTCCATGTTCCCCTGTACTCAGCACTGGTGAGGCCGCACCTCGAGTGCTGTGTCCAGTTTTGGGCCCCTCACTGCAAAAAAGATATTGAGGCCCTGGAACGTGTTCAGAGGAGGGCAACGAAATGGTGAGGGGTCTGGAACACAGGGCTGATGAGGAGAGGCTGAAGGAGCTGGGAACATTCAGCCTGGAGACGAGGAGCTCAGGGGAGACCTCACTGCTCTCTATGACTGCCTGAAGGGAGGCTGCAGGGAGCTGGGGGTCGGCCTCTGCTCTTGTGTCATCAGTGATAGGAGCAGAGGGAATGGTTTCAAGCTACGGCAGGGGAGATTCAGGCTGGACATGAGGAAGAATTGCTGTTCAGAAAGGGTGGTCAGGCACTGGAATGGATGCCCAGGGAGGTGGTGGAGTCACCGAGCCTGGGGGTGTTCAAGGAAAGGCTGGATGTTGTGTTGAGGGACGTGGTTTAGTAGGAGCTGTTGGTAAGAGGTGAACGGTTGGACTGGATGAGCTTTGAGGTCTTTTCCCACCTTGGTGATTCTGTGATTCGTGTCCTGTGCTTTAAGGGCTGGAGGTGGGGTGGGATGTGGGCTGGTGGTGGCGGTGGGGGGAGGCTGGAGGTGGAATCCTGCATCTGTGGGGCTGGGCTGTGGTTCCCCTTCCGACTCCTCTCCTCTCCCCTCCAGGTTTCACAGCTGACCTGAGGTCCAACACAGGCGGCCAGGCTTTCCCCCAGTGCGTGTTTGACCACTGGCAGATCCTGCCTGGGGATCCCTTCGACAGCACCAGCCGCCCCTCGCAGGTGGTGGCTGAGACCCGCAAACGTAAGGGGCTGAAGGAGGGCATCCCAGCCCTGGACAACTTCCTGGACAAGTTGTAAAGGCTGCGCACCCACCGTCACCGGTGTGGGACTCAGACAAACTAATAGTGTAACAGCGGGCAGAGGGTAGAACTGCAGCGCCCATCTCTTTGCATTGTACTTAATCAGTTCCATAGCGATTGGAGACTTTCAAAAAAAAAACAAAAAGGAAACAAAAAAAAAAGCATTGATATTCAGCCTTATAGGTTTCTGTGTTGCACATGACTCATGTGGGGCCCTGCTCGGTGCCATTGTAACGAAGCATTTCCACTCGATGCAACTAGAGTTGCCTGATTCCATATTTATTTGACTTGAGCTGAGGAGCGTCTCTGCTTTGTTTTGCTGATGGGGGGGAAGAGGAGAGACTGAGGGGTGCAGGGGCTGCTCCCCCTTTCCTGGGGGGGCGATGGTGCCCTGCGGTGGGGGGGGGGAGGAGGTGTTGTGGTTGGGCAGCAACTCGAAGGCAGGGAGATCTTGTGCAGTGTGATCGTCATCATGAGCATCAACCAATGTATTAGTGCCACTGGAAATAATAAATTTGATATGGTGATGAAGGGTTGGCCGTGCGCCTCCTCGCTTTGCTGGGCCACGCGCGGTCCCTGCGTGATGCCGGGGCCCTGCAGGATCCCCGGGCTCCGAGAGCTCAAAGCTGCGGGATTCCCAGCGGCGGGGGGGGGGGGGGGAGCAGCGGTGCGGGGCAGCCGGGAGGCGCCGCCGGGATTCGAACCCGGATCCCGCAGCTCCTGGGCGAGGCCGGGCAACAGGGCGGGGTCACCCCGCGCGGCCTCATCCGCGCATTCCAGCATGACGTCACTACGAGAAGCCAATGATAGCGCGCGAAGGGCGGGACGTCGGAGGAGCCGCGGCCAATAGCGGAGGCGGAGGGGCGGAGCCGGCAGCAGTGGTGGAATGCGGCGGCGGCGGTGCGGGCGGGGGCGGCTCAGGTGCGGCGGCGGCGCGGGGCGATGCGGGGCGGGGGGCGGCGCGGGGCTCGGCGCGGGGCTCAGCCGCGAATCCCGCTCCGCAGGGGCTGAACCGAGCGGAGGGGAAGCCGCGGGACCGCGGCCATGTCCACCTTCCGGCAGGAGAGCGTGGAGGACTTCTACGAGATGGGGGAAGAGCTGGGCAGGTGAGCGGGGGACGGAGGGGCCGGGGGGAAGCGCCGGCGGGAGGAAAGCGGGCGGGAAGCGGCATTCGTGGCGTTAAATTGCCGTCCTCCGGTGCCCCCGGCCGGCCCCGCGTTTGTGGGGCGGGTCCCGATGCGCGTCCCGCACCGCTTTGGGGTTTCGCCGTGCCGCTCCGCTGCGATTTGGGGCCGGCGCGGCGCTGCGGTCCTTATATGGCTCCGCGGGGCCGGGAGAGAGGAACGGACGGACGGACGGACGGACGTCAGCGGGGAGGGGCCGGGAGGGGCGGCGGTGCGGCGTCCTCCTCCACGGCGCTGCGGGGATTTGGGGGAAGGGAGCGGGGGTTGAGCGGCCCCGAGCCTGCGGAGAGATGGGGCGGGAGGGACGGACAGCCCAGCCCCATCCGTAGGGATGAGCGGCCCCGAGCCTACGGACTGAGGTTGGGGTCACGGACGAGCGGGGCTGTGGGGCTGGCTTCCTGCACGGCCCGGCAGCGTGGGGACAGCTGAGCAGCTGCTGCGTCCGTGGGAGGAAGAGATTTCCTTCCCACATCCCGTCCTGCGGGGTTGGGATGCACCCCAAGCTTATGGGGCAGCCCTATGGGTTCTGCTGTAGGGGCTGCTCTGCCCCATCCCCATCCGGGGGGGATGTTGGCTGCATCCGAGAGAACCCCGCTTCCCACCAGGTGTTGGGATCTGTGCCTTCTCCCATTGCCTGAGCCGTGCTGAAGGTTCTCAGGTTCTTTCCTCCCACAGCGGCCAATTTGCCATCGTGAGAAAATGCCGGGAGAGGAAAACAGGCCTGGAATACGCAGCCAAATTCATCAAAAAGCGACGGCTGTCGTCGAGCCGCCGGGGGGTGAGCAGGGAGGAGATCGAGAGGGAGGTGGACATCCTGAGGGAGATCCAGCACCCCAACATCATCACCCTGCACGACATCTTCGAGAACAAGACGGACGTGGTGCTGATCCTGGAGCTGGTGTCTGGCGGGGAGCTCTTCGACTTCCTGGCGGAAAAGGAGTCGCTGACGGAGGAGGAGGCCACGCAGTTCCTCAAGCAGATCCTGGACGGGGTGCATTACCTGCACTCCAAGCGCATCGCACACTTTGACTTGAAGGTGGGGGTCTGGGGTGGGAGCTGTAGGGGTCGGGTGGGACGTTGGGCGGCCAGCTGTTGGTCAGCTGGGCTGCTGTTGGTCTTTTTGGCCACTGGGACGCTCTGCAGGCTTGTGGTTGTCTGTTGGCCATCCCTTGGCCAACCGTTGGTCACCTGGGACGCTGCTGGCCTTCATGGTTGCTGGGATGCCCTGCTGGCTTGTGGTCAACCTGTGGCCAACTGTTGGTCAATTATTGGTCAACTGTTGGCCTTCGTGGCTGCTGGGGCGCAGATCTTGGTTTGTGGTCAACCATTGGCCAGCTGTTGGTCAACCACTGCTCAACTGTGTAGGGAACCTGCTTTGTCAGGGGGGTTGGACTCGATGATCTCTGGAGGTCCCTTCCAACCCCTACAATTCTGTCATTCTGTGATTCTGTGAACTGGGACACCACTGGGTTTTGTTGCTGCTGGGGCACGCTCTTGTCTTGCGGTCAACCTGTGGCCAACTGTTGGTCAATTACTGGTCAACCGTTGGCCTTTGTGGCTGCTGGGACGCAGATCTTGGTTTGTGGTCAACCATTGGTCAACTGTTGGTCAACCATTGGTCGACTGGGACACCACTGGCCTTTGTGGCCACCAGGGCCCACTGTGACTCATGGTCAACCTGTGACCAACCCATGGTCAACCAAGACACCGTTGGCCTTCTTGGCCACAGGAGGACACTGCTGACTTGTGGTCAACCATTGGTCAACCGTCGGTCTTTGTGGCCATTGTGGCACGCTGCTGGCTTGTGGAACGCCGCATGTTCAGCGTTGGGGTGAAGCACTGATCATCCCCCCTCCTCCACAGCCCGAGAACATCATGCTGCTGGACAAGAACGTGCCCAACCCTCGCATCAAACTCATCGACTTCGGGATCGCCCACAAGATCGAAGCTGGGAATGAGTTCAAGAACATTTTCGGGACCCCGGAGTTTGTGGGTGAGGCACAGGTTTTTTTTAGGGGGTTCTCTGGGCTCAGAAATGTTGGCCTCATCCTGCAGAGATGCCCCTGGGTGGGTTATCTCCCTGTGGGGCAGAGCTGGGTGCCCCACGTCTCCATGCAATTTTCCCCCCGAAATGAGTTTGTTTTCTCCCTTCTTCCTTCCTAAAGCACCAGAAATCGTGAACTACGAGCCGCTGGGGCTGGAGGCTGACATGTGGTGAGTGAGCCTTGATGTGGAGCGAGGACTTTTCCCCACGTCCCCTCTGTGCCACGTGGGGGGACGCTGTGAAGCTCTGAGCTCCTCTTTTCCCTTCCAGGAGCATTGGGGTCATCACTTACATCCTGTGAGTAGTTGGGGCCGGGGCTGGGGGAGCTGCAGGGGGTGGGAATGTGGGACTGAGCATCTCCCCATTGCTGCAGGCTGAGCGGGGCCTCCCCCTTCCTGGGGGAAACGAAGCAGGAGACCCTCACCAACATCTCCGCCGTCAACTACGACTTCGATGAGGAATACTTCAGCAGCACCAGCGAGTTGGCCAAGGACTTCATCCGCCGCCTGCTGGTCAAGGACCCCAAGTGAGGGTTGGGATGTGGGTGGCAGGGGCTGACGTGGGCCTGGCTGTGCCCCACATCGGTGTGGGGTTGGGTTGGTTTCTGCGGGGTCACCTGTGGCTGCAGCGCATGGAAGGGAGGGAATGGGGTTGTGAGGAAGCGGTGGGTTGAGGGCTGACCCTGCGTGGCCCCCCTGATTTTGTGCCCCTCTGATCCCATCCCCCTGATCCTGTCCCCTCTCCTCCTGTTCCCCCCCCCCAATCCCACCCCCCCATCCCACCCCACTGCTGTTGCAGGAAGCGGATGACCATAGCTCAGAGCCTGGAGCACCCCTGGATCAAGGTATGGGGTTTCCAAGTGATGGTTTGGGGCTTGTGGGGCAGATGGGGGCTGTGGGGTGGGGTGGGCTGTGGCCCCACAGCCACGTGGATTTGTTGTGGCACTGGAACAGTGCTCAGATCCGTGGTTTGAGTCTCATGATGCCCCTGTGTGCAGTCAGCAGTGGGGCTCAGCGATGCAGTGGGGTCAGCCTGTGTGGGGCGGTCTGGAGGAAGCGTGCGTTGTTTCTGTGGGGTCAGGTGTGGGGCAGTCCCACCCCACAGCGATGCCCCGTCCCTGGAGGCGTTGGGGGGTCCTGGGCACTTTGATGTACTGAGGGGCACCCGCCTGTGGTGAGGGTTGGAATGGGGAGATCTTTGGAGTCCCTCCAACCCAACCCAATCCACCTCCGTCCATCTCAACTCAACCCATCGCAACCCAACCCAATCCAACTCAATCCACCTCAACCCAAACCAACCCAACGCACCTCAACCCAACCCAAACCAACTCAATCCATCTCAACCCAAACCAACCCACCTCAACTCAGTCCACCTCAACCCAACCCCCTCAACCCTCAACCCAATCCACCTCAGTCCACCTCATTTCAACCGAACTCAAACCAACCCACCTCAACCCAAACCAACTCAACCCAACGCACCTCAACTCAACCCAATCCAATCCAACCCACCTCAACCCAAACCAACCCAACCCACCTCAACCCAACCCACCTCAACCCAAACCAACCCAACCCACCTCAACTCAACCCAATCCAACTCAATCCACCTCAGTTCAACCCAACCCAAACCAACCCACCTCAACTCAACCCAACCCACCTCCATCCACCTCAGTTCAACCCAACCCAAACCAACCCAACCCAAACCAACCCAACCCACCTCAACCCAAACCAACTCAACTCAACCCAACTCAATCCACTCCACTCCACCCCACCCCATTCTGTGCTCCTGTCCCTGTGAGTCCCTTCCGGTGCCTTCGGTGCTCCTCCCACCCCATAGGGCCAATCCGGCCCCGCTGTGCTGCCCCATCCCCGCGTCTCCCCACAGGTGATCAAGAGGAGGAACGTCCGCAATGAGGACAGTGGGAAGAAGGCAGAGCAGCGACGGCGGCTGAAGACGACGCGGCTGAAGGAATACACCATCAAGTCCCACTCCAGCATGCCGCCCAACAACACCTACATCAACTTCGAACGCTTCTCCAAAGTGATGGAGGAGGTGGCGGCGGCGGAGGAGACCCTCCGTGAGATCCAGAAGAACAAGAAATCCTTCCGGGAGGACATCGAGGCCCTGCTGTCCATCTATGAGGAAAAGGAATCGTGGTACAAAGAGGAGAACGAGAGCATTGGCCGCGACCTGCGGCAGATCCGGCAGGAGCTGCTCCGAGCCGAATCCGCCCGGCAGCGGGCGCAGGAGGAGAGCAGGAATGTGATGCAGGCGGCCGGGGGGCTGCGCCGGCGCTACCGGAGGTTGGAGAAGCGCTACGGTGCCCTGGCTGAGCAGGTGGCGTCCGAGGTTCGCTTCGTGCAGGAGCTGCTGTGGTCCATCGAGAGGGAGAAGCTGCAGGGCGGCGGGGAGGATGGCAGCATCCGCTGAGGGGGTGGGGATGGGGGGTGAGCGGGGATGTGGGGTGGGAGCCGTGGGGATGGGGAGCGCGGGGCTGTGGGGATGCGGTTGGCAGAGGGGCTGGGGAATGTGGGGAGGATGGGGCAGGACAGCAGCCCTGTGGTTAGCAGGGGGGATGTGGAGTGGGGCTGTGGGGCAGGACAGCGGCCCCATGGCTGGGCTGTGGGGTCAAGGGGCCACACTGTGGGGCAGGGTGGGGGTCCTATGGTTGGGTAGAGGGCTTGGGGAGACACATGGGGACGTGGGGGTGGGGAGTATGGGGCTATGGGGCAGGACCATGGCCCTATGGTTAGCAGTGGGCATGGGGAACATGTGGGGCTATGGGGCAGGACAGCAGCCCCATGGCTGGGCTGTGGGGTCAAGGGGCCACACCGTGGGGCAGGGTGGGGGTCCTATGGTTGGGTAGAGGGCTTGGAGAGACACATGGGGACGTGGGGGTGGGGAATAAAGGGGCTATGGGGCAGGACCATGGCCCTATGGTTAGCAGTGGGGATGGGGAATGTGTGGCTTGGGAGTTGCACCTTGGTTAGCAGTGGGGTTGTGGAATAAGTGGGGCTGTGGGGCAGGACAGCAGCCCTATGGTTAGCAATGGGGATGGGGAACATGTGGGGCTGTGGGGCAGGACAGCAGCCCCATGGCTAGGCAGTGGGGTCAAGGAGCCACACTGTGGGGCAGGATGGGGGTCCTATGGTTGGGTAGGGGGGTTGTGGGGTGGGAGCTGTGGCCCTATGGTTAGCAGTGGGGCTGGGGAATGTGTGGGGCTGTGGGTTGGGACAGCAGCCTCGCGGCCAGGCACTGGGTCAGGGAACATATGGGGCTGTGGGGTGGGATTGGCAACCCTATTGTTAGGCATTGGGGTTGGGGGAGCAGGCTGTGGGGTGGGAGCAGCCCCATGGCTTGGCAGTGGGGTCAGGGACCGAGTGGGGTTGGATGGCAGCCCTGTAGCTCAGCTTTGCGTGCCCTCAGTGTCGGTGTGGGGCCGGAGCTCAGGGTGCTGTTGTCCCCAGTAGAGCCCCTGGTTGTCCCCGGTGTCTGTAGGGTTTTTTCCCCCTGAGCTCCACGGCCGCACTCCCCTTTCCTTGGGCTCCTCTGGGGGTCCTGTGCCATCTGTGGGGCTCCACTCAGTGGGGCAGACATCTCCTGTCCCTCAGGGTCGCACCCCTATGGAGGGGGAATGGGACCAAAGCACTGTTCCTACATGGCCCCAAACCCCAGCCTGACCCCAGAGTGGCCGTGCTTGGGGGGAGGATTGGAAGCGCCCCCCAGGGCCGCCCCACACGTCCCATCTGCCCCACGGTGCTTCCTCCCAGCTGGGTGCAGCTTTGAGTCCCTTTTAATAAAATAAAGCTTTCTGTCCTCATAACCCCTCTGTGTGGGTTTGGGGTGCAAGGGGAGGAGCGGGGGGGAGAAGGATTTGGGCATTCTTATGGCTGGGAGCGAGCGCCTTGGGGGGGTCTGGGGGTTTGGAGGAGGTGATGGGAATGGGAGGGGGGTTGGGGGTGGTCTGTGGGGGGAGATGGTGGGAATGGGGAGGTCTGTAGGGTTTTTGGGTGGTCTGTGGGGGGAGGTGTTGGGAATGGGGAGGGTCTATGGGAGATCTTGGGAATGCAGGTCTGTTGGATCGGGGAGAGGCCATGGGAATGGGGTGGGGGATCTGGGGGAGGTCTTGGGGTCCAAATCCGGGCCCATTTGGCCACATATAAACCCCAACCACTGGGCTTGGTGTGGGGAGCGAGGATACAATTGTGCCACGGGGTTGTGCTATGGGGCTGTGCCATAGGTCATTCCATGGGGCCGTGCCACGTGCCCATTGACGTGCTGTGGGGTGTCGGGTTCGTCCCAAGCTGTGGGGCACGTGGCTGGGTGATAATTTTAGGGCTGGGAGGGGAGGTGGCAATGTGACGGAGCGCTGTGCTGGCTGTGTCCCCATAGCGGGGCAGTGTGGGGTGATCCTTTCCCATCCCCCTCGCAGGGATCCATGGGGCACAGAGGGCCGACCTCGTTTGCTCCCGTTGCTTCGGGGCTGAAACCCAGGGGCTCCATCTGCTCCCAAACAGGGGAAGGAGGATGGGGGGGGGGGGGGAATCCTACAGCGACAGCTGATCCCAAAAGCACAAAGTTCACCGGGTGCTGAGGCTGCGGGTTTGGGTTTCAGGAGCCCCATGGGATCACGGCCAGCAAACCCCCGAGCTGCACAGGGAGCTCCCCTGCGCTGGACTCGAGGCTGGGGGCACCATAGGGGCTCCTGAGTGCTACATAGGGGATCCTAAATGCTACGGGGCCTCCTGAGTGCCATAGGGATCCCTAAACGCTCCGAGGACTCTTCAATGCTGTGCAGGGACTCCTGAGCCCTGCAGGGATTCCTAAATGCTGTACAGGGACTCTGGGGCTCTAAATGCTATGTAGGGACTCCTGAGTCCTATATAGGACCCCCTAAATGCTATGGGGAACTCCTGAGGTCCAAATGGGGACTCCTGAGTGCAACAGGGATTCCTAAATGCTGTCCAGGGATTCCTAAGCAGCACACAGGAACTCTTCAATGCTATATAGGGACTCCTGAATGCTTTATGGGGACTTTTGGGTCCTACATCGGGACTCTTAAAAGCTACAGGGGCTCCTGGACACCATATAGGGATTCTTAAACACTATATAGGGAGTCTTGAATGCAACAGGGGCTCCTGAGAGCCATACAGGGACTCCTAAACGCTGTAGGAATTCCTAAATGCTATACAGGGACTCCTGAGTGCTTCATAGGGGCTCCTGGGTGCCATAGGGACCCCCCTATGCAGGGGAACCCATGGAGAGCTCCCCCCATCCCGAATCCCATTGGGTTTTCCCATCAGAGTTGGGCACAATCCCAGTGGCCACATTGAATAGGACCCAGTTCCCACCCAGCCCCAAAGAGGCCGAGGATGCAGTGTGTGGTTATGGGGCTGCAGGAGCCCCCACCCCATAACAACCTCGGCTCAAGAGGAAAAATGAAAGGAGAGATTGGAACTGGTTTTACTGCATGGGAACGACGGCGGTGCGGAGCGGCCGGGTCCCAAAGGCGGCCTCTGTTCTTTCCATCAGGAAAAATAAAAGAGTTCCCAACTTCTGGCAAAACGTGGTGGAATATTAAAAAAAATAAAATAACAAATCCTGCCCGGCACGGTTGCAAATAAATTATCTTCAGTTCTCAATTATATACAAAAGACGTTTCCCAAATCGACCCTCGTTCCGACGGCGGCGTTAAGTAGTATTTACATCTGAGCGTGGGGTCCCTCAGCTCTTTGGGGGCCCTGTGAAGGAGAAGGGGTGCTGTGAGACCCCCCCCCCAGCACCCAGGGCTGCTCCCCCGTCCCCCAGCTGCTGGGTTACCTGGGGGGCGGTTCAGCAATCTGTTCCTGATGTCCTCCAGGACTTCGTCGTAGAGCTGCTCTCTGCTCTTCAGCCCATCTAAATAGACTGAGGGAGAGGAGGTGTCACAAAATGGGGGCTGGGGGGCAACCTGGGGTGTCTGACCTTGTGGGGGGGGCCTGGTTAATAGATGGGATGCTTAGAGCAACGTTTGCATCGATTTGTTCCTAAATATGGCATGGATTGACCCAACGTTGGCTTTACGAGCCCCAAATGTTGGCTTTGTTGGTCCCAAATGTTGGCCTCAACGCTGGCTTTGTTGGCCCCAGCATTGGCTTCATTGGCCCCAAATGTTGACCTCAAATGTTGGCCTCAACATTGGCTTTGTTGGCCTAAACGCTGGCCCCAACATTGGCTTTGCTAGCCTTAATGTTGGCTTTGTTGGCCCCAAATGTTGGCCCCAAATGTTGGTCCCAACATTGGCTTCATTGGCCCCAAATGTTGGCCCCAACATTGGCTTTGTTAGCCTAAATGTTGGCTTCGTTGGTCACAAATGTTGGCCTCAACATCGGTCTCGCTGGCTCCAAATGTTGGCCCCAACATTGGCTTTGTTGGCCTAAATGTTGGCTTTGTTGGCCCCAAATGTTGGCCCCAAATGTTCACCTCAACGTTGGCCTTTCTGGTTCCAAATGTTGGCCTCAACATTGGATTTGTTTGCCCCAAATGCTGGCCTCAACGTTGGCTTTGTTGGCTCCAACACTGGCTTTGTTGGCCTAAATGTTGGCTCCAGCATTGGCTTTGTTGGCTCTTTTCCCACTTCCCCACAACAGAACCCACCCCAAAACCCCCTTCCCTCAAAGTTGTCTTTCTCCCCCCTAATTCTCCCTATTTTCCCCCTGGCCAACCAGCCCTACAGCTCCACGTGGGTACAGCACGAGGCTCAGAGTTCTCCCCCATCCTCAATGGTGACTCTGTGACACGGACCGTCACCAAACCGTCCCTGAAGGGGGACACAGCGACCTCAAAACCCCCCAAGGGCAGGGAATGGGGCCACGCACCGACATCGACCCCGTTGTCCTCCATCTCCTTGCGGTGTTTCAGGTACATGGGCCACACGTGGCCATCGAAGAGGCCGGGGGGATCAGGGACGGTGTAGCTGCGCGTACTGCAAACAGGGAACAGTGGGGACGGTGGGCATCTCTTCCCAGCAACCGTTGCCCCCCATTTTGGGGTAGGTTTTCTTCCAGCACCCCCTGATGGGGTCCGTGGTGGCTGTGGGTTGTGGGGGATGTGTGCCATGTCCCCGTTGGTGGGTGGGATGTTGGTAAAACCCACTCCAAAGGGACAGTCAGAGCCAAGACTGACTGCCCCATATCTCCCTATATCCACCCCACAGCCCCCTGTAGCCTCATATCCCCCTATAATGCCCCTATGGCTCACCCACTGCCCCCTATAGACGTATCCCCCTATGGCATGGGGTCACTTATCCTAATTAAACTCATTAATTCCAGTTTGCACTCGATGCTCCTACACACCAATAATGGCAGTGCAGGGAACCCCAAAGCTCATCACCCTTACTGGGGTCGGGAGGGGGATTGGGGTCAGCAGTGAGAGATGGGAGGAAGGGGTGGGATGGGAGAGTTGGGCAGAGCTGAGTGGGGTTAGAACTTAGGGCGAGCAGAATTGGTTGGGGTGAGGGCTTAGGGTGAGCAGTGCTGGGTGGGACGAAGGTTTAGGATCACCAGTGATCCTACAATCCTAAAGCCCAAAGTGAGGTGAGCATTTATGATTGATGAGGGCTTAGGGTGAGCAGTGCTGGCTGGGATGAAGGTTTAGGACCAGCAGTGATCCCAAAATCCTGAAGTCCAAAGTGAGGTGAGCATTTATGGTTGGGGTGAGGGCTTAGGGTGAGTGGTGCTGGCTGGGGTGAGGATTTAGGGTTGGCCAGTGCTGTTTGGGATGCAGGTTTAGGGTCAGCAGTGCTGGCTGGGATGACGATTTAGGGTGGGAGTACTGGGTGGGATGAAGGTTTAGGGTCAGCAGTGTCAGTTGAAATGAGGATTTAGGTTTGGGCGGTGCCAGCTGGGATGAAGGCTGAAGGGTGAGCAGTGCTGGCTGGGATGAGGATTTGGGGTTGGTCAGTGCTGCAGCCCAGCACCACCCACCTCCTCCTCCGTTTGCACTCATCGTACGGCACTGCCAGGAAGTAGCGGAGGTCGAAGAGCTCCATCAGGGGTCTGCAGAAAGAAACTGTTATTTCCTGGTCTTACCTTCCCCCCCAAAACCCCACAATCAACCTTCCTATTTCCCACACTGCCGACCAGCGCTGTCATTAAGGCACACTCCTGTAGGGTGGGCTCGTCAGCAGCCACCCCATGCGTTGCACGGTTGACCCCCACCCCAAAATCTGCTATGGGGACTCGGTGGGGCACGCCGATACCAGGAATGGGTTTCAATTCCACGGGTTCCCCCCGCCCTCCAGCTCACCTGTAGTTGTAAAGCAGGAAGCCTTCGATGAGCAGAATGTGGGGCTCTTTGGAGGGAGGCTCTGTAGGGTCGGGAGTGACATTCACCCCATGGGAACGGGCGAACTTGACTGGGTTCTCCATCCAGGCACGCACCGTGCTCACCATGGCCTCCATATCCAGGGAGTCCAGCACTGAGGGGTGGGTGGGAGAGAGGGTCCCCATCAAACGCCGCCACCCGCACGGGTTCGAAAGGTTAACGGACTATGACAGCGTTAAGAATTGAAAGGAAACGCTTAGGGAAAAACAACAGCAGGAAAAACAAAACAAACCAACAAAAAACCCCCAACAAAACAGCCCAACGAAAGAAGATCCATCACTGCATCCTACAGCCAGCACCGCTCTTACCGTCCCACTGCTTGAAGCCGTCCTCCCCGACTTCTATTTGGTCTTGGGGCTGAAATGCAGTGAGAAAACATTGCTGCAAAGCCAGTAGGATCGCTTCCCCCAAACCCAACAGCCTTTAATCACAGCCTTTCCCATCTCCCCCCCACCCCAAAAACCTCAGCAGTGCTCTGGGCTCCTCAGGGCCATTGGTGACAGAGGGCTGAGGTTGGCCATGCTGCAGCCATCCCAGCACTCAGGGTTATAAGCAGACATAGAGGGCAGCATGCAAACTGCCCCAGTGCTCCACCAGCCCATACTCCCCAATGCTCCATCAACCCCAATGCTCCACTGGCCCCATATTCTATTGGCCTCAGTGCTCCACTGGCCCCATAACCCATTACTCCAATGCTCCCCTGACCCCAATAGCTCCACTGGCCCCTATGCTCCACTGGCCCTATATTCCATTGACTCCAGTGTTCCCCCATATTTCATTGGCCTTCAGTGCACCACTGGTTCATGCTCAATAACTCCAAAGCTCCCCCGATAGCAGTGCTCCCCTGACCCCAGTACTTAATGGACCCCAATGCTCCACTGGCCCGGATTCCATTGGCCCCAATGCTCCACTGAGCCGTACTCCAACCCCCCAATACTATGTTGGCCCCAGTGCTCCCCTGACCCTAATATTATAGCCAACCCCAATGCTCCTCTGGCCCCTATGCTCTATTAATCCCAACACTCCATTGCCACCCCTTGCCACCCATTGCCAGTGATCCACTGGCCCCATATCCTATTGACCCCAATGCCCCCCTGGCCCCATCTTCCATTGCCCCATACTCTGTTAACCCCAGTGCTCCCCTGGCCCCATATTCCATTGATCCCAGTGCTCCATTGGTCCCATCTTCTATTGGCCCCCAGTGCTCCACTGGCCACAATGCTCTACCAACCCCAGCACTCCACTGGCCTCAGTGCTCTATTAACCCCAACACTCCCCTGACCCCACATGCTTTAATCCCAATGCTCTGTCAACCCCAATGCTCCCCTGGCCCCAGTGCTCCATCAACTCTAATGATCTCCTGGCCCCATATTCTATTGATCTCAATGCCCCATTGCCCCCAATGCTCCACAGTCCCATACTCCATTACCCCAGCACTCCATTGACCCATATTCCATTGGCCCCAATGCTCCACTGACCCATGCTCTATTAACCCCAGTGATCCATTGGCCTCAGTACTCCTCTGGCCCCATATTCCGTTGCCCCCAGTACTCCATCAACCCCAACGCTCCCCTGGCCCCATATTCAATTAATCCCAATGCTCCATCAATCCCAGTGCTCCCCTGGCCCCATATTCAATTGATCCCAATGCTCCATCAATCCCAGTGCTCCCCTGACCCCAAATTCCATTGGCCCCAATGCTCCGTTGACCCATGCTCTATTAACCCCAGTGCTCCTCTAGCCTCAGTGCTTCATTAACCCCAATGCCCCTCTGACACCAGCACTTAGTGGACCCAATGCTCCATTGGTCCCCTGGCCCCAAATTCCACTGCCTGCAGCACTCCATTAATCCCATGCTCTCCCAGCCCCATATCCCATTGTCCCCAATGCTCCACTGCCTCCAATGCTCCACTGCCTCCAATGCTCCACTGCCTCCAATGCTCAGTTGACCCCAGCGCCCCACTGCCCTCAGTGCTCCATTAACCCCAATGCCCCTCTGACCCCCATACTTACTGGACCCCAATGCTCCATAAATCCCATGCTCTCCCAGCCCCACATCTCATTGCCCCCAATGCTCCATGGTCCCATACTCCATTCACCCCAAACTCCATTGGCCCCAAATTCCCCTGGCCCCACATCCCATCGCTCCCCCTGCCCCCACCGCTCTCCCTGTCAGCAGCACGTGGGATCCCCGCGGCGCTCACCTTGAAGAAGTCATCCTGGTGCACGACGCAGCAGTTGGGCAGCGCCTTGACGATCCTGTTGGTCAGCGTGGTTTTGCCCCCGTTGGTGACGCTGGAGCGGAAAAAAAACCAAACAAACCCCCAAAACCCCAAACCTGGCGATTCGGACCCGCAAATGGCGGAACGCGAACCGGCACCGGGAAGCGCGCGCTCCACGTTCGAATTTCGCGCCGCGGCGGCGCGCGCTGAACGCTGATTGGCTGTCGCCGCGAGCGCGGCCCGCCTCCTATCCCGGAAGTGTAACATTCCGAACGTCCGGCGCTTCCCGCGCGCGGGAGGGCGCTGCGGCGCTGAGAGGAGCGGGGCCGCCGCCATGTTGGGCGGGATGGAGGTGGGGGGCAGAGGGGTCTGCGCCGTGGCGGCTCCGATCACCCCGGGACAGTGCTCGTGTTGGCCCCGTACAGTGTGACCGACCCCGGCATGCCTCCCGTCCGCTGTGCAGTCCCATAGCCCGTCCGACCCCGTGTGTAAGCCCACCATCCTGTACCAGCTCCTATGTAACCTCAGGACTCCGTTCCATCCCCAATATAACCCCATCCCGTCCCCTATGTAACCCCACCATCCTGCACCATCCCCTATATAACACCCATCCTATCCCCTATACAACCTCGGAACCCCTTCCCATCTCCTGTGCAACCCCTAGAATCCCAGCCTGTCCCTGTATAGCTGTACAATCCCCTATGTAGCCCTATAATCCCCTATGTAACTGCAGAACCCCATCCCGTTCCCTATACAACCCTCAGAACCCTGTCCTGTCCCCTATGGAGCCCCCAGAACCTCCTGTTGTCCCTTATACAGCTCCCAGAACCCCATTCTGTCCCCTATATAGCCCCTATATAATCCAGGAACCCCGTCCCATCCCCTATATAACCATAGAATCCCATTCCCTACACAAGCCCCAGAACCCCATCCCCTCTATCACCCCATAACCCCCTCCTATTCCCTATATAACCCCCAGAACCCTGTCCTATCCCCTGTACAACCCCCAGAACCTTGTCCTATCCCCTGTATAACCCATGAGCCCTCTGTCAGCACTTATACAACCCCATAATGCCACGCTATGCCCTATATAACCCAGGAACCCCATCCTATCCCCTAAATAACCCCAGAACCCCCTCTCATCCCCTATACAACCCCTAGAACCTCATCCCCTATACAACCCCTAGAACCCCATCCCTATATCAGCCTTGAACCCTCTCCCTCCCCCTATACGCCCCCTAACCCTGTCCCATCCCCTATACAACCCCCAGAACCCCATCCCCTATGTAACAGGGGAGCCCCCTCCTATCCCCTATACAACCCAGGAACCCCCTCCCACCCCCTATATCACCCCATAACCCCCTCCATCCCCATACACCCCCTAACCCCGTCCCACTCTACCCACACTCACCCTCCGATCCCTATGATGTACTCCATAGCCGAGCTGTGCAGTGTGGGGAGGAAGAGGAGGAGAACCCCACAGTTCGTGGGGTTTTGCACAGAGGGGCCCTTTTCCCCCTCGGCTGCGCTGCGTTCCCGCCGGGCTCAGCCCCGCTCCGCTGTTCCATTGAAACAGAGGCGCTTTGCTGCGGGTTTATAGCACCCGGCGGCCGTTTCCCCGCCCCATAGCTGACACCCATCTGCCCCCAATGCCATATTTTGGGGCCGCACAGCCCAACCCTCCCCCCCCCGTCCCGCTGCTCCTCCCCCCGGGCTCTGATCGCGGGGTCACGCGCGCACCTGTCGCTCTGCTGGCTATAATTAGCGCTCGGCGGCGATCCCTTTGCCTTAATTAGGAATGGGGCAGGTGGAAATGTCAACCCCCCTCCGTGGGGCTGAGCGAGGAAATCATTCTCCTTTTGCTTTTCCTTCTGCGGATCGCAGCTGCACCCGGATTCCCCGAAACCCCAACACGGACAATGCACAACGAGAGCGCCCTTCTGCTTCCTCTTTGCATTCCCGTATGTATAAATCCGTCCAAACCCGATAAACCCATCGTCCCGCCCCCTGTTCACATCCTTAGGGAACCACTCGCAGCCTGGAGCTCGCTCTGCCCCGCAGACGCGGCGCCCGGTGGCTGCGCTGAGGGTTCCTCTCTGCGTTCCCCCACACATCCGTCAGATCCGGATGCCGCTGCTCAAATAAAGGACTGCCTCTGCAATGCAGGGCCTTTGATTTTAATTACGGCGATCATTTCAGATCCCAGGGATGCGCTGTGTGGGGCGGGCAGCGTTCTGATGGACGCAGTGATGGGAATTTGGAGCATTGTTTCAAAGCAGCACCCGGCAGAGCTCCAGTCACCAAAGCACCGCGCGTTTCCTTCCTTCTGCTTATCAGCACAGCGCCTGACAGTGCTGGCGGCATTCCTGGCCATAAAGGGGGCTGTAATTAACGACCTAACGATGCAGCTGGTAAGTGCACCAACACACCTTGTGTCTCCCTTTCCCTACAGCCCTGTGCTGCAGCACCGATCCCTGCTCCCGTCCCCGTGCGGATGCCTGTTGTGTCTCCCATCCCATTAGCACCCCCACCAGCGATGCCTTTTTCTCCAGGCAGGGGATGGTGTGCCCTCATCATCAGTTCGTGTTCAGGGCTGCTTTGTGCAGAAAGCTTTGTGCCCTAAATAATCTCATTTGCACCTCAGATCTGGGCTGTGCCCCCCCAGCTGTGATCCAGCCAAGCGTGGTCCTTCTCCCTGCAGACCCTGCAGGCTGCACTGTGCTCATCAGCCATGAGGTCAAGGTCTGGTGCTCCGTCAAGATGTGCCGACCACAGATTAACACAGGTTGCCAATGAGCAGAAAAACGTTAACCAGATTCTGGAACCTTGCAATGAAGGTGTTGGAGGCAACAGATGAGATTGTTTCAATGGAGACAGGCTATAGCAAATCTATGAATGGGGCTATATGACCCGACCCAACGCTGCATTGCTCTGTGCGTTGAGCACCCAGACCTCTGCATGTTCCCACTCCAGTTCTTATTGCCAGCATTAGCTCTGTGCTGACGTGTTTCTGGGGGCTCTCGTTGCCATTTTCCCATTGCAGCAACGTGATGGGATTGCGGCAGAGATGTGGAGCTGTGGTTCCTGAGGATGAATGGGAAGTGAGTGTTGGGAAATGGGATTTCCAGTGGCTGCAGTGGGGTCACCCAGCAGGTGCCCATCACAGTGGTTACAGTGGGTCGCCCATTGGTGCCTGTTGCCACTGTGCACTGAAAAGGAGTAGCGACAGTTGATCCCATCTTACAGTCCAGTCTCAGCTGAGCTCCGTGCAAACAGAAGTACATTTTCCTTCCTCTTCGCTGTGCCCCTCTCCTGCCCACGAGCTGGGGAGGTGTCTGGTTAATGAACAAACAGTGCGTGGTGTTTATTAGTGTCGATTTCACCTTGTTTGACCTTAACGTGGCCATAAAAACCTGCGGGTTTTTGCAGGTGGAGGGACACTGGGGTCAGCCACCTTTGGTCACCGTGGAACCAAATACATTTGGACCATGTCATCTTCTGTGCAGCTGAGAATTGCCCCCCACCCCAGCACCCCAAACGGACGCCAACGAGCACAGCCGTCCTTCCTGGCAGCAGGGAGCCCTCCTGACCCGCCGCGTGGCCATGCTGTCGCCGCGTGCTCACGAGTTCTTTTTTGAGCAGCTCTACGGCTGCGTGCCGGTGAGTCACATGTCACTCAGTGGCACTTCCTTTTTCCGTGCTCATTTCTGAGCCGTTGGTGGCGACGCTTTGCCAACACAAACAGGGGGTGACAGCTGCGACCGCAGGCAGGCGATGCTCTCTGCTTTTAGAATGTGCCAGCTTGAGGTTGATGCTAGGAGAGCTTTGGCAAAGGGGACACCAGCATTCCTGGGGAGTGCCTCTGTGCCCCTGGGGCAGCTCAGCTCTGCGACAGGCACGGAGCTCTGCTGCAGGATGCATCGCTGATCCCAAAGCTTCCATTCAGACTTCAAGCTGTAAGGTGTTGCTTATGGGGTCAAGGTTAGGATCAGGGTCAGGATTATGGTTAGGATGTGAGCACTGTTACGTCAGGATTTCTGGATGCCTTCCTTGGAGGTAGTGTTGGGATGAGGCAGCACTGCAGCTAATAAAGAACTGAGGGATGGCAGTGTTTCCACCTGCAGATTTTTATGTTCTTGGTTTGCTCTGGGCTGTGCTGCGGAGCGTTTCTCCAAAGGTTGGGTGGCATCACATCTCAACAGTGCAAAACCCTTCGTACCCACTTGGAAGAATCGGAGAACCTTGGAAAATTCTGAGCTGGAAGGAACCATCGTGATATTCGTGTCCAATTTCTACCTCCATACAGGACTGCCCTGAAAGAAGATAAGGAGCTCTATCAGCTGGTGGCAAAACCATGGGCTGGCAGGGTACCAAGCTTCTGTAGGATAACATTTGCTGGCACCTTGTCACAGAGCTGCCAACAGTGACATGTTCTTTGTCACTGCAGCTGATCCCACTGCTGCCCACGGTGGTGGGAGGGCTGTGAGCTGGGAGTGGGGACCAGTGGAGGAAATGGGGACCTCTGGGTGTGCTGAGGGGTGTGGGGGGGCAGAATTGTTGGGGGAAGGGAAAGCGACGGGCACAGAAGGAATGGACTAAAGGCAGGCGTGAAAGGAACAGGGTGAGGCAATGTGTAGGTGTCAGGCAAGATGATCATAGAGGTCTTTTCTGACATTATTGATTCTATAGGGCTGGGAGGGGAAGGAAAGCTGGAGCCTGAAGGCAGGCAGCTTGTTTTTGCAGAGCCCAATTAGGGGTGTAGAAAAAAATTCCCAAAGTGTTGGGATCTGCAGCTGTCCTGCTCCCACACCCCATGGCCTTCCTCTGAATGAAGCACACATCGATCCCGATGCTGCAGGAAAGGGAGCTCTTTGGGGTTCAGTGCTCTGTGGGAGGAACCATGGGGTTGGTGGGAATGGCCGTGGAGAGGAGTGGGGAATGGTTCTTCTTTGTATCAGCGTGGTAACAACAGCAGGAATTCCACCTGCAGGAGCTGACAGCAGCTCTGTCCCCATTGGAACCTCACGTATTTCAGCCCGTGTGTGACTCCACGATGGGCCAAAGCTGGGGGAGAGGGATCTGAATTCAGTTCTGTCGGTGGACCTGGATCTTGTTTTTCTGAGACTGTTTTTGTTGTTGCAGATGAACACACAAAAAGGAACAACTGTCCTTCAATGGCAGTCAGTGCCCACGCAGAGCAGTGGTCCTCATGGGATGGTCACAAAGGTGGGAAAAGATTTCCAGGATCATCAGGTGCAACCCCAACCCATCCTTCAGCCGTGTCACAGCCCAATGGGAGCAAGGTCACTGAGGTTCCCTCGGCTGTATCACAACCCATCAGGGTCACTGGGGCTCCTTCAGCCCTGTCACAGCCCACTGGGTTCAGCTGTGTCATGTTCTTTTCCTGAATATTTCACAGTGTGAGCACAGTGATAATTCTATAGGATTAAGCTTGCACCCATCCATACTTCCAATTCCTCAGCTGAAATATCCCCAAATCCCATTTATAAAGCGCTCAGATTGACATCTCAGATGTCTCACTGTAAATCCTCATGTTTATATACATAAGTATGGCTCTATATAAGTGAAATTAATTAAAAATTGGAGGTGCACACCTTCTGCACCCACTGTTACAGACTGCAGCTCTGTCCTAAGGCAGAGATCCCTTTGGAGGGGCCATGTGCCATGTGGACAGGACAGAGGTCATTTTGGTGCAAACACTCAGCTTCCAGTGCCACCACCCCTACCAGAGGGACAGACAGAAAGAGGGACGTGAGTTTTTTCTTGAGGATTAGTCTTGTTTTTAATTGGGTATCCACAGATTCTGATGGGATCATACAAAGCCAAAAAAGAGCGATACATACTGAGCAGCAATCTACCCTTCTAGCACAGCCCGTCCAATTACAAACACTTTAGAAAAAGGACATGTTTTTACATGTGGTTTGTGTGAAAGGGGCCACTGCAAAGGAGAGAAAAACCCGGCGATCGATGGGCTCCTATCGCCATGTGCCTTAAAAACTCCCTTCCCCAGGGGCTGCAGAGGATCTGGGGTAGGAGCAGTGGTTCCACTGCTGTTGGGTCGATGTGAGCTCGTTGCTGCCACTGCTTCATCGGCTCCTTCCTTTTTCAGTGCCTGGATACGTTCAGGAGGAGATGTGTTGCTCTTCAGACCTGTGCTGCTTTGCTTTCCTCATCCACACGTCCGTGCGTCTCTCAGCAAAAGGGTCTTTGGAAGAAAGAGTTGGGAACAGTGCAGGTGAGGGGGGCTCTGTGCTCACGTCTGTGCAGTGCAGGGTGGTATGAGTGCTCCTAACGGAGCAGCAGCTTCTCAGCTTCATTCCCCGGGTCATTGCTGTGAACCAGAGAGCATCGCTGGGTGGTCCTGAGTGGGAGCAGTTCCTAAATTGGCCCAAACGAAGCAGTTCAGCTGTGTAAATCCTCTGCCTGGTGGAAAGCAGCGCATTTAGGAGCCTACATATCCTTAGAGATGTTTCTATGGGGCAGAAATGGGGCCTGGTCTGTATTGGGAACATCATCCTGGAGAACAATGGGGTGAAAAGGGATGCAGCTGATTCAGTTTCCTTTGGTAGGTGTGTCTACGTGCTGGCAAAGGGCTGAATGGAAATGTGCTTGCATTACCGCATTTATTTTAGCACTGGAACAGGCTGCCCAGGGGGGTGGTGGAGTCTCCTGCTCTGGAGATGTTCAACACCTGCCTGGATGCCCACCTGTGCGACCTGCTGTAGGAACTGCTTTGGCAGGGGGTTGGACTCGATGAGCTCTGGAGCTCCCTTCCAACCCCTACAATTCTGTCATTCTGTGATTTCACTTCTATATCTTCTGGTAGAGCAGATTTGCTCTGAGGATCTCCTACAATCTGCACTCCGGTGGAAACATCAGCACCAGACCTTCCGTACATTGATTCCGATCACAGCGCTCTATGAAACAGCAAAAAAGTGTGTCTGCAGTCACTCTGGATTCCTCTTGGCCCCTTGTCAACTGCTTTATGGTCGGTGAGTCCCATCATCAGGGCTGGCAGCTCCGCATCACCAATTCCCCATCACCTGTCCCCAATTTTTGTCCGCTGTCCTCCAGAGTTACCATCAACCTCTCACCTCTGTGACAGCAGGACGTGAATTTCTGACAGCATTTTCAGCCAGGTGCAGCTGCTGTTGCACCCGTTTGCCCCTCTGCCCATCCCTTGGCCACCCCATGGCAATGTGTTGAAGCCTGTGCTGCTCTACCAGCCCTAAAGCCATCAGCATTGCAGCGCAGTTAATTATGGGACGCTGCCAACCCCACTGCTGTGTCCTCAGCAAAGAGTTTCGCTGAGCATCTGAATTGCTCTCCAAAACAACAAGTCAGTGATACGTTTTTCGTTGCTACCAAAACTTTTCACATTTAGCTGTACCTGTATCCCATATGGGTTTGGCTGTGCCTGTATCCATTGTGGATATGGGGCACCCGCACCCACTGTGGGCTGAGCTGAGCCCTCACCCATTGGCTGTGCCCACACCGCTATGGGCTGAACGTTCTCTTCCGTGCTGAAAAGCTACACAGACGTCCATCCAGGAGCAGAAGGCTGATGCAATCCAGACATCTTGTGAAAAATTAAAATAAGGTGCATCCCACGTGCTCCATCAGAAAGTGCCCTTTTGGAAAAAGAAGTTGCGAATGGACTCGTGTTTACACCACTTCTTATGCATCTCATATTAAGTCTGTGCATCCTCAGAGGGAACTCTCAGCCCAAAGGAATCTCCTGGAAACCCAGGACACATCATCTTCAGGCCTGCAGCTTTGCTGAAGTCATAGACCCAGAGTCTGTTCTTTGGAAAAGAATTGAAAAAGGAGGAAAAAAACCCCACAAACCAACAACAAAACCCCAAACCGTGTCCTTAGGGGTCATGAAGTGCTGCATTTCATGGACTGTGGGACGTCAGCACTGTGAAGTGGTCCCAGCACCACACGTCCTCTACATTCCTCACTGCCCCGTGCTCTGTGGCAGCACGGTTTCCCATTGTGTTTCAAACATTCTTCACTGGAGTTCTTAATAACTACAGATGTCAGAAGGGGTTTGGGAGCTGAGCTTTGATGCTATCCAACATCCCACCCATGGGGTTGCTAACTCCACTCCCAACGTCCAATTGCACTCTTTTGTGTAAGCACAGCAGTTCTGTTTTTTCTGTTTCTTTTTCTTCTTCTTCTTTTTTTTTTTTGTCTAAATGCATTAAAATGGTCCAAAACCACAGAAGGACAACCTCAGTGTTATCGACAGGAGATGGCAAATTCCCACCCTACTACAGGGAGATCCCCAGTGCTTATGGGATGATCTGAAGCCCACAGGATCTGGAGCGGCTGCCCCGATGTCGCAGTGCTGTTCAGTCCTTCTCTGCTGTGCAGAATTCCCCTTGCCAGTGGGGCCCATCATGATGCTCACAGAAATCCGTGGTTAACTTTGGATTGCTGTGGGTTGGGGTGGCTGGGTGTGGGACCCACAGGTCTCCATCCTCGCTTGTTGGTGCAGGGCTCTGCCCGGTGTGCTGCGTGTGAGCTCGCTGTGACAAGAGCAGCATCTTCAAGTGCCTTCACCACGTCCTCATTTCCAACATGCTCTCCTCCCTTCTGCTCCCAAAGCCCTCCTGAGCCCCGGCACCAGGCAGCACAGTCCCACATCACATCCCAACTTTCTCCTCCATCCCTGCACGTGGATCTGTCTGTACCGAGGGGTCTGTGCTCCCCAGGACACACGGCGCGTTCCTGACCCTCGGCAGTGGGAATCCACCAAGGGAGCGGTGATGGAGGATTGTCCGAGGGCATGAAGCCAACACAGAGGCATAGGAAGCACTCCTGTCTGCAGGGCTCCTTCTGACCACTGCGTGTGACATGAGGAGAAGCTCACAGGGAGGCTCTGTGGGACCCTTCCCAAAGCTACCAGGGCCCTACGGAGGCAGAATGAGTATGGTAAAAACACAGCATCTACCCACAGCAACGGCTCACTACGAGTTAATAAGAACTGGCAGCAGATGAACGGAGGTCAAGGCTGGGAGGAGCGGTGGGCACTTGGCATTTACAGGGGGAAAATAAAGGGATAGCAAGGGGGAAAATGGACTCTTTTCATTTCTTGCATTAGCGATCCCCCGGGGCAGCAGAGTGTCGCAGTGAGCGGGGTCTGAAAAGAAAAACAGATCTGTCTGTGGGCAAATGGACTGCGGGATGCTCTTTGCTCACTGCGAGGAGGTGGAGTCTCTGTTTGCTCCGAGCTCTGTGCAGACCATTGCTGGACACGATGGAACCCATCCTGAAAAAAAAACGTGCTATCCTTGGAGATATTTCTTGTTGTTGTTGAAAAGTCAAATGTTTTCCAGAAGTTTGGAGGACTTTGCGTTGTGCAGAGAGGGGAGGCCCCGTGACCTTACAGAGCTCAGAGCTGGGCGGTGGAAAGGTCTTCTACCCAAAGGTCATTTCCAGGGGGGAGTGCTGGGCTGCGTCGCTCTCTGCTCCCTTTGTCCCGCGCTGCCTCGATTCATGGCATGCTGGGGAGGAACAGACAGACAGGGGTTTGAGGTGGCAAATGGTGGTGCTTTGTTCTGGCTGTTGTCTCTGACAGCACGGTCGCGTCTGGGGGGCAATCCTCCATCAAATACCACTGGGTGCATGTGGCTGAGGACACGGGCAGTGGGTGGGAGGTGGGCTGGGGGACCTGAGAGGTTTTTTTCCGGCCTTAATGGTTTTGTGGTTCTGCGATCAGGGCTGAAGAGACGCCACGCACAGCTCTGATGGAAGGGGTCTCCTCTAAGGGCTTTCCCGAGGGCACATGAAGAGCTCACCGTGGCACTCTGACTGCATCCCATGGGCACCCATGGGTGCCCCATCCCCAGAGCAGCCCAGGGCCACGGGGCGGGTGAGGGGCACCCATGGAGTGGGTGGAACTGGGACGTTTCCCCTCCAACCAAAGTGATGATTCTGGGATGACACACGTGTTGGAACTTTTCACGTTGCATACTACAAATGCAACAAAACCCCATAGCAGAGGGGAGGCAGAAGGGAATGGTGGTCCAACCTGGTTTCTTGATCCTCTGCAGGGGGCACAGGCCTGCTGGGAAGAGAACCATGGCTGCAATTAGTGAATTTGCCCCTTGGCCCCGAGGTCCTGCGTGTTCCCATTGCTCAAAGGGGTCCTGGCACATCTGACCCACAGCTCTGGGGAGGGAGCTGCTGAGAACAAAGCAGAGAGGCCAAAGCAGAGCTAACACCAGGCCAAGCGATCCTGGCTTTGGCTTTGGACACTGTCTTCCAAACCTTCCTAGAATTTTCCTTCCCATCTAATGTTACAGCCTCTGGGGGCACCCAAATGTGCCAGATAGCAGCACTTGGCCCTCTGCACTTTCCCACTGTGCAAGAGCTGAAACTGAACGTTCCCAGTGCTGCTGGCTGTGCTCCATGACCAGGTGGCTCTGCCAGCTTATGGAGGTGACAAACAGGGCTGGGGATCCACGCACACAAATGAAGGTCAGCAGCAAAGCTGCAACAAAAGTAGGCCTTGCTGTGACCCCGTTCTCGTGCCAAGAATGCCTCAGGTATTTTCTAAGTGAGGGATAAAGTCTAAGTGAGGGATAAATCATTACCTTTCCCTTTCAGCCACGTCTTGTTTCTCTTCTGCCCTGTAAGCAAGAAGCGCATTTGAAATCTATCGCGTTTTGGGAGAGCAGAGAGTTTAAGGTCTTCCCGAGGAGGGCTGAGGACGCTGCCCTGCTGTGCAGGAGTGGGACTGGGAAAGCTGGAGCTGAGTGGGGTGGGGGCTGCAGGGAGCAATGAGAGGTTCTGCATTAGAGGAGACGGGGGCAGAGTAATGCACAGAGAAAAAGGGCAGCAGTTTCCCGAGTGAAGGAACCTGAGAGCAGTTCTACCTTTCTCTCCTGGCCTTGATCCTCTCTTCTTCAAATCTGCAACAAACAAGAAACACTTCTTCAGCATCACCCCGCTGACACCACTTGCTTTTAGCAAAACACAGTGTTTGCTCTCCATGCTTCGGCTCTGGGGTGGCAGGGAGCTGCCTGCACACCATTGCTTGGCACACACCGAGAAGCCAACGTCCACCCCAGGCTCTGTGCTCCCAGCGTGCAGCGTTGGACCCAACACGACGTCCTTTGGACCCAACACAACGTCCTTTGGATCCAACACGACGTCCTTTGGATCCAACACGATGTCCTTTGGATTCAACACGACGTCTTTTGGATCCAACACGACGTCCTTTGGATCCAACACGACGTCTTTTGGATCCAACACAACGTTCTTTGGATCCAACACGACGTCCTTTGGACCCAACACGACGTCCTTTGGACCCAACACGACGTCCTTTGGACCCAACACGACGTCCTTTGGATCCAACACGACGTCCTTTGGGTCCAACACGACGTCCTTTGGATCCAACACAACATCCTTTGGATCCAACACGACGTCCTTGGAACCCAACACGACGTCCTTTGGATCCAACACGACGTCCTTTGGATCCAACACGACGTCCTTTGGATCCAACACGACGTCCTTTGGGTCCAACACGACGTCCTTTGGATCCAACACGACGTCCTTTGGACCCAACACGATGTCCTTTGGATCCAACACGACGTCCTTTGGACCCAACACGACGTCCTTTGGATCCAACACGACATCCTTTGGATCCAACACGACGTCCTTTGGACCCAACACGACGTCCTTTGGACCCAACACGACGTCTTTTGGATCCAACACGACGTCCTTTGGATCCAACACGACGTCCTTTGGACCCAACACGACGTCCTTTGGACCCAACACGACGTCTTTTGGATCCAACACGACGTCTTTTGGATCCAACACGACGTCCTTTGGACCCAACACGACGTCCTTTGGATCCAACACGACGTCCTTTGGACCCAACACGACGTCTTTTGGATCCAACACGACGTCCTTTGGATCCAACACAACGTCCTTTGGATCCAACACGACGTCCTTTGGACCCAACACGACGTCCTTTGGATCCAACACGACGTCCTTTGGATCCAACACGACGTCCTTTGGACCCAACACGACGTCCTTTGGACCCAACACGACGTCCTTTGGATCCAACACGACGTCCTTTGGATCCAACATGACGTCCTTTGGATCCAACACGACGTCCTTTGGATCCAACACAACGTCCTTGGAACCCAACACAACGTCCTTGGAACCCAACACGACGTCCTTTGGACCCAACACGACGTCCTTTGGATCCAACACGACGTCCTTTGGATCCAACACGACGTCCTTTGGATCCAACACGACGTCTTTTGGATCCAACACGACGTCCTTTGGACCCAACACGACGTCCTTTGGATCCAACAAGACGTCCTTTGGATCCAACACGACGTCCTTTGGACCCAACACGACGTCTTTTGGATCCAACACGACGTCCTTTGGACCCAACACGACGTCCTTTGGATCCAACACGACGTCCTTTGGATCCAACACGACGTCCTTTGGATCCAACACGACGTCCTTTGGACCCAACACGATGTCCTTTGGATCCAACACGACGTCCTTTGGATCCAACACGACGTCCTTTGGATCCAACACGACGTCCTTTGGATCCAACACGACGTCCTTTGGACCCAACACGACGTCTTTTGGATCCAACACGACGTCTTTTGGATCCAATACGACGTCCTTTGGACCCAACACGACGTCCTTTGGACCCAACACGACGTCTTTTGGATCCAACACGACGTCCTTTGGATCCAACACGACGTCCTTTGGACCCAACACGACGTCCTTTGGATCCAACACGACGTCCTTTGGACCCAACACGACGTCCTTTGGATCCAACACGACGTCCTTTGGATCCAACACGACGTCCTTTGGATCCAACACGACGTCCTTTGGACCCAACACGACGTCCTTTGGATCCAACACGACGTCCTTTGGATCCAACACGACGTCCTTTGGACCCAACACGACGTCCTTTGGACCCAACACGACGTCCTTTGGATCCAACACGACGTCCTTTGGATCCAACATGACGTCCTTTGGATCCAACACGACGTCCTTTGGATCCAACACAACGTCCTTGGAACCCAACACAACGTCCTTGGAACCCAACACGACGTCCTTTGGACCCAACACGACGTCCTTTGGATCCAACATGACGTCCTTTGGATCCAACACGACGTCCTTTGGATCCAACACGACGTCTTTTGGATCCAACACGACGTCCTTTGGACCCAACACGACGTCCTTTGGATCCAACAAGACGTCCTTTGGATCCAACACGACGTCCTTTGGACCCAACACGACGTCTTTTGGATCCAACACGACGTCCTTTGGACCCAACACGACGTCCTTTGGATCCAACATGACGTCCTTTGGATCCAACACGACGTCCTTTGGACCCAACACAACGTCCTTTGGATCCAACACAACGTCCTTGGAACCCAACACAACGTCCTTGGAACCCAACACGACGTCCTTTGGACCCAACACGACGTCCTTTGGACCCAACACGACGTCCTTTGGATCCAACATGACGTCCTTTGGATCCAACACGACGTCCTTTGGACCCAACATGATGTCCTTTGGATCCAACACGACGTCCCCCTCCGTCAGTGCCATTGTACTCACTGTGAGACGCAGTCTGGGATCTGGACGTGCTCCATAGGGATGAGCTGCTCCAGTTCCTCCAGGCTGTGAACGTATTGGATCTTATTGATGAACTTCACGCTGGCAGAAGAAGAGAAGGAGTGTGAGGCCTTGGTTTGCTTTTCTCTCTGCAGGAGTTCTGGTGTTCCTGATGGAGGTGTGGAGCTCCGCTCCTCTGTGCCCATCTCCTCCTCCTCCCCTCCTCTCTGTGCTCCCTCTGCTGCGTGGTCTCACTTTGGGCACCGTTACCCAAAGCTGAGCGCAAGATTAATGCAATTCCCATTCTGAAACCATTCACATTTGGAAGTGCTTTACATTTACCTGATGAAGGGCCTGGAAATAGCCAGCACCGTCCGGATGAACCACGAGGGATGCACAATGATCAGGGCTTTGAGGTTCTTCCGCAGCCTGGAGGGAAACCATGGGATGGAACGTCAAACTTGAGAGCCGTTCTCAACCCCACTGTGATCTGTCAGTGCTTGGAAGCCTCCATGGAGCCGAGGAGCTGCACGTGGGGGCCTCCAACCCAAAGCCCATGGGCTCACGTGCACTGTGGGAGCACTGAGATGGCAGCTTGTAGGATGGCTGCCTACAGGTGTAGGACAGTCCCTACACGGATCTGAGTCAGGGGAGGAGGGAGATGAGGGGATGAAGTCAACAAGATGTGACAGAGGGGAGAAGATTACAGAATCTGGAACTTGGCTGAGGCCAATGGGATGAGGTCCAACAACACCAAGCACTGGTCAGGTTCAGAGAGGGACAGTGGATCTGAGAAGGGGCTGGAACACAGTGGGGACTTAGAGAGTGGTTTAGGGAATGGAATGGGTCAGTATGGAGAAGAGGAGGCTCAGGGGAGACCTGCAGCTCCTGAAAGGAGGTTGTGGCGAGGGGGGGTCGGCCTCTGCTCCACGTAACAGCGATAGGATGAGGGGGGATGGCCTCACAGTGCACCACGGGTCAGGCTGGGTATGAAGAGGAACTGAAACAGTGGTGAGGTTCTGGCACAGCTGCACAGGGAATGGGGGGTCACCACTCCTGGAGGGGTTCAGAGCTGTAGAGAGGTGGCACTGAGGGACGTGGGCAGTGGGACGGGTCGGGGGTTGTGTAGGTCTCTTCCAACCTGAATGATTCCATGGAAGCAGTGAGAGATGTGGGAGGAGGGCAGGATCTCACCGTCTGTCTATCATCTGGTAGCACTTCTTCAGCCACCCCAGCCCCGGCATCCTCCTCCGCGGCGTCGCTCCGTTCAGGTACACGATCATGTAGTCCTCAGCCACCAGCAGCTCCAGGCTGCTGATCACGTAGCTGCAGGATGGTCAGAAGCAACGGGGACGTGAGGCTCAGAGAAGGCACTGCAAGCTGCCTCCATCATCCCAAAGGGACTCCGGGTCCCTCTGCACACCAAACTCCCCCGGCACCACATTTCATAGAATCACAGAAAGGCCTGGGTTGAAAAGGCCCACAGTGCCCATCAGTTCCAACCTCTGCTGTGTGCAGGTCGCCAACCAGCAGCCCAGGCTGCCCAGAGCCACATCCAGCCTGGCCTTGAATGCCTGCAGGGCTGGGGCATCCACAGCCTCCTTGTGCATTTCCCAGGGGTTCCCCACGCTTGTTGGCACAGTGCACGCATCAGTAGATGTCTCTGCACTGTTTGCTGCCCAGAGCAGCAGCTACAAGCTGTTCAGTGCTCTGTGGCTATGCCCGAGTCCATCGCCAGCATAATTAACACGGAGTGTCTGAACACTCTGACTTATCAGCCTTGTTTGTGAGCACTGAGGACATCTCAACGCAGTGACGTTCCCCCCAGCTGCAGGCTGCAGACATGTGGCCCCAGTTCAAGCTCCTTCCAGCTGAGGTTCCAGATGCAATGAGCAAACAGCAGCCCTGGAGCCCAGGTTGCCTTCTCTCCATCCTCTCCCATCCACTTACAGGAAGAGGTTCTCCATGATATAGTGGTAATCAGCCAGGTTGCTGTCTGGCAGGTAGCAGGCAGCGAAGACGATGATGGCATTGAGTCCTTCTCCGTAGTACCCTGGAAAAGAGGCACAGGCACCATCAGCTGCTCCTTCCAGCAAAGATCTGTTGGTAAGTCTGGCTCTGCTCAGCTCTGGGGAAGCATTTGTCCCTGCGATGGACCTTTGTCACAGCTGAGTTCATCTCCAAGCTGGATTTTGTCTGTGACATGCATGAGGGGCTCAGGGAAGGAGGAAAAAAGGGCAGAGCAGAGAGTTCTGCCCCAGGTTTTTGTATGACCACATTCAAATGGCCCCCACCTATGGGTACCTTCACCTCTGGCTGTGCCCCAGAGAGGTCCAGAGGGGTTTGGCACCTTTGGTCACTGCAGCATTGGGAATTGGTGGGAAGGCTCAGGGAGGTTCACACTGCCTCGGAGCCACACGTAGCACTGCTGGTGTTTATTGCAGCTCCCTGCTTCTGCCACGAGCAGCACAAAGCCCCCCGACTCGAAGGGGACAGCTGGCAGAGCCACGAGGGCAGCCAGCCCCCAAGGCATCCCCTCACCTCCGTGCGTCACCACCCTCATGTAGGGTTTGATCATCTGCAGGTCGATGCGGTGCTCCTGCTCCCCAATGATGACGGTCCTCCAGAGCCGCCCGTTGGTTGCGCTCCCATCCTCTGTCCCGCCGTCCCCAAACAGATCTGCGCTGTCCCCAGGCATGTTCTTGGCCGTGGCCACAGGAGTGTCATCTGGCAAAGGGACAAACCCTGCACATTACCCCAGGCTGAGGTCGGGCTGCAACCTGTGAGCTCTGAAAGCAGCGTTTCTAGCAGCGAGCGGTGCCGGAAGCGGTGAAAGTGAGGCCACCCTCGCCAGTTCACCCAGAGCCGTCCTCATACCTTCCCATTCCAGCTCGTTCCCATTCCCCAGGAATTCGAGGGAATCCGTCTCGTCGGGCGTTTCGATGTCATCCACGTTGATATCCAGATCATCTGGCGTGTCCAAGAAGTCATCGGACAGAATGGAGCCTTCACTCTGGTCCAGGGAAATGTTGATTTCAGGTGCGACAAGCGTCTTCCGCTTACGGTGCGCCCCGTTAAAGTTTAAGGTATGTGGGGGAGCTGGAGTCAAAAGGAAAACAAGGGACAGGTTGTCCTGGCCCTGCATCCTCAGTGCCAGCCGTGCTGAGTTTCTTCGTCCCGTTTCAGGTGATGCTTCAGGTGTGGTTGCATGGAAGCACCGATGCTTTGAGATCCCAATTTCCCCCCCCCCGGGTTTGTGTCAAAGATCCCCAAATTGAGATGTGGTTCCTCTCCTGATTGGGCGTTTTGGTGGAGCTGCCCTGTGGCCACCTGTGCTCTGCCACCCCATGGGGTTTGTGCTCCCCAGGGACCCCGGTAGGTGGGCTGGTACTTACAGGATGTGTGCTCGTCCTCTGTAGGGCTGCCCAGCGACTCCATGCCAGTCTCTTCTGGGAGAGGCCTGCAGGCAAGCGGGAAAGTTGGGAAATAAGGGATTTTTAGGAGAAAGTCACCCTGTGGAGGGAAGTGGGGATGTGATGGAACAACACACAGCCCCGCGTGGGCTCTTCCCTTTGGGAGCGTCAGCCTGGTGATGACTTGGGGTGCTCTGCCCAACAACTGCGCCATCCCAAGTAACTTCCAACCCGTCCCTCCAATGCTGCTCGAATCCAACTGTCCCACAGAAAGGATGGGAAATCTGAGCAGAAAATCAGAATGGAAAAGCGGAATGGAAGACTTGTATTGAAAATCTAGCCAGAGACACCAGAATGCGTTGTGTCCCTGGAAATGCTGGTGCCATCCTCCTATCCCAAAGTCTGACTTTGCTCCATCAGTGGCTCTGTTGGTGGTCAAGGTGAGGTTTAAACCTTAGCTATGAGCACAGTGTTCTTGGCCTCTGCAGCCAGCAGTGGCGCCTGTGTTGAAAGCAGATCAATTTGGAGTGGAGATCCGGGCACCAGAACCCAAACCTGACCTGGGAGCTGAAGGCTGACCAACCACAGCTCTGCTCCCTGGGCTCCTGCAGCCCCGGGGTGAAAATGCTGGAAATGCCCATGGTTCAGCTCCCTTTCCCGACGCCAAGGCCAGGTCTCATCATGTGGCTGTTGTCCTTTGGAAGGTGGAGATGCTCCCAAGCCATAGAGGGGACAGATTCTGCACAGCTGGTGGCACTGAGCAGCGCTGTCACCCTGAGCTGGACGCTTTCTGGACACTTTTCCCTTTAGTTTGGGTTGGAAATCGTGCCTTTCCTGGATGTTGGCTGGGGGAGACGTTTTGCAACCTTGTTATTGCATCATGGCCAAATCCCACTGACCCCATGGCGCCTTCGTGACATCAGTGGGTTCCCAAATCTCACCAACCCCATGGCACATCTGTGGTGTCAATGGGTTCCCAAATCCCATTGACTCCATGGCACATTCATAGTGTCAATTGGTTTCCAAATCCCACTGACCCAATGGAAAACTGATAATGTCAACGGGCTCCCAAATTCCACCGACCCCATGGCACCTTCATGGTGTCAATGGGTTTCCAAATCCCGCTGTCCCTACAGCACATTCCTAATGTCAGTGGGTTCCCAAATCTCACTGACCCCATGGCACGTGCATGATGTCAGTAGTTTGCAAATCCCACTGACCCTGTAGCACATTCATGGTGTCAATGGGTTCCCAAATCCCACTGACCCCATGACAGATTGGTCCCCAAATGGTCAACAGGTCCCCAAATCCCACCAACCCCATGGCACACCCGTAGTGTCAATGGGTTCCCCAATCCCACTGACCCCAAAGCACATTTATAATGTCAGTGGGTTCCCAAATCTCACTGACCCCAGGGCACCTTCATGATGTCAATGGATTCCCAAACCCCATTGACCCCATAGCACCTTCATGGTGTCAATGGGTTCCCAAACCCCACTGACCCCATGGTGTCACAGGGCTGTTTGAAGAAGGCCCTTCTGAGCCCTCCTTGTTCCCCCATTGCTGTTCCTCCCCTTGCTGGGAGCTCCCAGCAGCAGGGGATGAGCGTTGGGCCTGCAAGCTGAAATCCTGCATGCTGGGATGTCCCCAGGGAGAAACACGGGGGGAAAAAAACCAAACATTTTTAATGCAGTGCTGGGAGAACGGGGATGGGACAGGGACAGATCCCACAGGGACGACTGCCGCCGTGTCAGCTGCAAGATGCTGCCCCAAATTAAAGCACGCACATCTTCCGAGGGAGGGCTAATCCTCCCCGAGCTGCTGTTGTTTATTCATGAGAGCCGATCAAAGCTCTCGCTGCCCCACGGGCGGTGAGCAAAGGCCCCGCAGCCCCCTGCGCACCCCCAGCCCTCCCACCCCCCGTCCTGCTGTTTATCCAACAAACGCGGTGCGACGCACGCTTTGGCCCCACGGCACCAAAAGGAGGGGAAAGGGGCAGCGCCATTTCCCAAGGAGCGGCAATCCCGATGTCAGACGCAAAGAGAAAAGGTCTCTTACCTTCCCGAGCGGGATGCGATCACCGCCCCCCGGCTCTGCCTCCCCCCACACCGCGATTCCAGCAGCAGAACGGCTCTAAGGCTCCGGGAGGAGCACCAGATTGCTCAGCACTGCCCAACACCCGCAGCTCTGCATGGGATGCGATGGGTGCACGGCGAGCACGGCGAGCACAGAGAGCACAGAGAGCACAGCGAGCACAGCGAGCACAGAGAGCACAGCGAGCACAGAGAGCACAGAGAGCACAGAGAGCATGCTCCGACCCCACGGCATCACAGCATCACTGCATCACAGCATCATGGAATCATGGCATCACGGCACCACAGCATCACAGAATCGTGGAATTACGGCATCACAGCATCATGGAATCGTGGAATCATGGCATCACAATGTCATGGCATCATGAAATTATGGAATCATGGCATCACGGCATCACGGAATTAACAGAATCACGGAATCATGGCATAACTGCATCCCAGCATCGTGGAAGCATGGAATCATGGCATCACAGCATTGGAATTCCACGATTCCATGATGCTGTTGGCTGTGCTCTTATGTGAACAGCACAAGAACGTCACAGCATCATGGCATCATGGCATCATGGCATCGTGGCATCGTGGCATAACTGCATCAGAGCATCACAGCATCACAGCATCACAGAATCACGGAATCATGGCATCGCAGCATCACGGCGTTGTGGCAGCCACCACGCAGCCCACAGGAGGACCCTCTCCTCCCCACGTCCCACTCTATCAGCTGCAGCTCAGCACATTGGCATCACGCCTTGCACAGTGCCTGCATGGGGAGGGCTGGGGGCAGCTCTCAGGAAGGAGCTGTGTTCAGTGCCCAGCCTGGAGCTCGCTTAGGATGGAGGCATCGCTCCATTGCAGAAATCAGCTCCTGATTTCACCCCTCTGTGGCAGATCCTGCACTCGGGGTCCCACGCTGCTGCCACCCTCATCCCTCGCCCTTGTCCCACATCCCTTGGCCTCTCCCCAGTTTGCATCCAGGAGCTGCATTGCTGGGTGAGCTTGCTGCTGCACGGCGAGGCGCAGCGCATCCCTCCTCCATCCGTGGGTTTGTATGGGGAGCACAGGCTGGCACACCGCGCTGCTGCCCCACACTGCCCAGGCGACCAGCAAAGGTCTGCACGGCTCTCAGCAGGGAGAGAAACCTCCCCCAGAAACACAGGACCCTGCTGTGCCTCCACTCCCCTCTCTTTTTGGCACAGAGATGCTCCCACCGACGCCGCAGCTGCGCTCGGGTCGAACAGAGCGACGCTCATCCGCCGGCCCTGAAGGACACAAGGAGGGCTTTCAGGGCTGCACGTGCCATCCCACAGCGCACACTGCGCCTCTGTGCCACCGACTCTGCCACCCTGTGGGTTCAGCTGCAGCTGGGAGGGGGCACAGCCTCCCCCAGAGCCCCCGCTCCGTGCTGCTGGAAGTGCGGGTGGAGGGGGGGGATGTCGCCTTAACGCCTCCGTCTGCTGGGCTGGAGGGATGTGGGGTCCCAGAGGTGGCACCAGGTGACCTGGGGTACCCAGCGTGTCAAGGGAGAAGTGTCATAAGGTCCCAAAGGTGGCACCAGATAACATAGGGTCCCTATAATGGGGATGGGTGCTACAGGGTCCCATAGATGGCACCAGGTGACGTGGGGTACCCAGCGTGTCAAGGGGAGGTGAGTGTCATGATGTCCCTAGGTGCCGTAGGTTGCCTGTTGTGCCAAGGGGACGGGTGCTATAAGGTCACATAGGCATCACCAGGTGACATGGGGTACTCATGAGATGGGTGCTGTAGGGTCCCATGGGTGACACCGGGTGCCATAGGGGACAGGTGACAGAATTGGCACCAGGTGACATGGGGCGCTCACTGTGCCGAGGGGACAGGTGACACGGTGTCCCATGGGTGGCACCAGGTGACACGTGGCACCCAACATGTCACGGGGAGGGGTGCCACCAGGTCCCATAGGTGGCACCATAGGGTGCCTGCTGTGCAAAGGGGATGGGTGCCATAGGGTCTCCTGGGTGGCACTGGATGCCGTGGGTGCCCACTGTGCCCAGGGGATGCGTGCCATGGGGTCCCGTGGGATGCCAAGGGGACAGCTTCTGTAAGGACCCATAGGTGGCACCAGATGCGGACAGGTGACACAGGGCCAGGTTCTGCCACTCGATCTTCGTGTCCCAACAGCTTTGGTTCCACTTTGCTCCATTTGGGAAGATGCTGCTCGACCCACAGAGCAGCAGGCAGAGCCCCCCTCCAACCCTCCGGACTTCCATCCACAGCCATCCCTGCTGCTTCCCTACCTGGGGAAGTCCTCGTCCTGCCACTCCTCCTTCACATCCACATTCTCCATCCGCAGGGTGGCTTCTGTGGTTCCCATCACGCTCGGGAGGCGCTTCCCACAAGGAAGGGCTCAGTCTGGAAGGTGGAAGGGAGAGAGGTGAGTTCAGCCCTACGGGCAGTGGGTTCAGGGCAGGGGCGCCGACCCCACAGCCACAGAGAAGCGGAGGGGGTTGTGGGGTCTGCAGGAACTCGGGGTGCTGTGGGGTTTTGTAGGATGAGAGAAAGCAGCATTAAATTGCGCCAGGAGAGGCAGAGGGTGGGAATTGGGAATAATTTCTTTGATGGAGCGCTCAGACATCGGCACAGGGAGTGCTGCCACCGTCCCCAGAGCCACAAAGGTGTGGGGAGGTGGGCAGTGGCAGAGCAGGATGGGGCTGGGTTGGGGCCTGGGGGGGTCCTTTCTGAGCGGACCCCACGATTCTGTGGCCTCCCGAGATGCTTTGGATCAGAACAGAGGAGGTGAGGGCAGCCCTGGATCTACGCAGCAGCTGTATTTCCTCCATGCTGCGGTGCCCTGAGCTCTCCCTGCCCACCGATAACCACCCCTTCCCCCTTTGCATTTTCTTCCAGTACCAACCTCAACCTTCACAAGTTCTGCTGACCTGGATGGATGCTGATGGCTGTGCTTTGGCAAAGAAAGCCCCGAGCACCCCTGCCTGCCCCACTCCCCGTCCCCACACGTGTCCCCGTGCTTGGAGAGGAGCAGGAGAGGGTGAGGAGCTCCCAGGGCCGTGTGCTTCCCCAAAGGGGTCACTGCCAGCATCGCTCTTGGATGAACCACAGTCGCAAAACAGGAGCAGCTCAGACGGAGGTGTGCGGGATCCACACCCAGGGCCTTGTTCTCATGGATGCCAACCCTGACAGCGCCTTCAGACTGTGTATAAATATATCTGCCACCCTTAGAAGGTTCCAGCAGGAGCCGAGCCTCCTCTCCTATTTCCCACCAGCCCATCCGTGCTGTGTGTGATCCCCCACCCGGGGCCCGGCCCCCCACTCAGCCCCACTCAGGGCAGACCCACAGCCCCCAACCCGGGGCTGCCAGGCGCTCAGGGCACTGCATGGAACGGGGGGGGGGGGAAGGGAACGGTGGGCGCAGCACCGACCCCTCTCTGCAGCTCCCCCTGCGCGCAGCCCCGGTGCTGTCGGTGCTCCCGGCTGTGGGCAGCGCCCCGTAGATATTATTACACCGTATCTGTGGGGCGGGAGGCCGGCGCTGATTTCCCAGCCCGTCGCCCTTGAGGCTCTTTTCCTCTCGCCCGCAGGATCGGTGGGGGGAGGACGCCCGTGTGCGCACATCTGCTCCGAAGGAATGAAGCGGCGAAGGGACCGAGCAGGGCGCATCCCTCTCCGCACCTCTCCCTCTCCTCCCACCGCATCCCGTCCATTCGCGGCCCCATTTTGGCTCTCTCCGTTCCTACGGATCCCGCATCGCCCCCCCCCGCAGCTGTGCCCGCAGCCCCCGAAGCCCCCCGGAGGTGCCGTTCTCACTCACCGCCGCTGCGGTTAACGGGGATCGACGCCTCGCATCCCCCCCGGGATCGCCGCTCGGGGGATGCGGGGATGTGCGGGTGCATCCAGGTGGGTCCCCGCTGCAGGAGCCGCTCTGGGGCTGTCACTGGAGGGGAGCGGAAGGCTGCGCTTTGTATCCTTCCATGGCCGTTCCTTCTCCGCCTCCGGAGGTGTTTCGCTGTTTTCTTCGGCACTCTGAATTCAGCTCATTGCAGTGCTTTGTGTGCGGGGAGGATGGCGGTGGTGACAGAGAGGGGGTGTCGTAGGAGATGGGTGGAGAGAAGGAGCCCAAAGCAGCCCCCCCCCACCCCCCCAATGCCGCCGCTCCTCCCATTGGCTGCGAGGCACCAAATCTCTCCCAGCTCTTCCCCGGGGCGGCTGATGCTGCCGTGCCCATCGCCCATCGGATGCGGCCCCACCGGAGGTGTGGGGCTGGGTGACCCGGCCCTACGGGAAGTGTGGGGCTGGGGAGTCGGGGGGGTGGGTGGAAAGGGGGTGGAAGGGGAGGGGTGATAAGGAGAATGCGGTGATAAGGAGAAACGTGGTTCCAGCAAGCGAGAGCTTTGCTGCGTCAGATGCATCCTGCCTTGAGCCGATCTGCGCTCACACCGCGCGGTCTGACTTCTGGTGCCGAGCAAACGCGGCCAGCACAGCCCGCCGCGCAGCTCCCGTCGCTTCCAGGATGTCAGCAGCACCGTCGCCCCGAGGCCTTTGCGGATTCCTTTGCAAGAAGAGGCAGCTATTTCTGTCTGCTGCGGATTTGGGCTCAGATTGGCACCGTCTGCTCCCCGGGCTGCTGCACGGCGCTCCCTCCGGCTCCGAGCAGAGCATCGCCCCTGGGTCCCGCGCAGTGCAATCCTTGCACGCCGGCTGCAGCGCTCCCAGTGCAGGAAGCACGCTGACTTTTCCCTCGGATTCTTTGCAGAAACAATCTGCACTGCTTCTATTCCACAGCAGGCACTTTTCCCATCACCGCCGATGGCACGGTTGGTTTTTTTGGGCAGCTGTTCCTTTGGCATTGCTGTGATGGAGATCAGACCTCGGAGGAATGCTGGGCTGCTCCCTGCTTACAGCCCCCAAGGCACGCAGGAGCCTTAGGGCTGCCTTGCTCAGATCCCCTTCTATACGTTCCTTTATGGCAGACAGAGGCCCACAGTGACTGACGGAGGTGCCAGGAGGTCCATAAAACCCAACAGCTCCAACGTTTCTCACCAACCCCAGCACTGTACAGTTAGCATTTGCCTCATACCTTCATTTTCACATCAGAAAGGCCATTCTTACGTCCCCAGGGCAGCTGTGACAGCATGCAGCTGTGTACAGCAGTGTACGAATGCCATCTACAGGCTGGGACGTGGGGCAGGGGTACCCGTGGGGCAGAGCTGTGCCACCCGCATTGCCCCAGCTCACCTTGCCAGGCCAAATATCTGCATTTTTAGGAGTCTGTTTTCTGTTGGTTGCACTGAGCTCGTTGTGCCGCAGTTGCTGGAGGAATTGTGCCCCTCTGAGAGCTGAGTGCCACTCCTGCAGTCCTGGGATGGGCGACAGTGGGATGTGCTGTGCGGGATGAGAGCCTGACCGCATTCTGAAGCAGCTCTTTTAGCACAGAGTGGGATTGTGAGGGTTGGAAAAGACCTCTCACCTCCCTGAACCCAACCTCTCACCTCCCTGAACCCAACGCCAGTCCATCCCACCGTGCCCACTGGCCGCGTCCCGCTGTGCCGATCCCTGTGGCTCTCAGCGCCCCCCGGCACGGTGACCCCGCCGCTCCCTGGGCAGCTGTGCCAACACAACTCTGCTCTCTGAAGAAGTTGTTCCTCGTCCCCAACCCGGTCCTCCTCTGGTGCAGTGTGAGGCCGTCACCCCTCATCCTATTGCTGCTATCTGGGAAATGAGGCCAACAAAAGGATGGAATTTGGGCTTTGGGGTGGTGCCCACTTTAGGTTTGGTCCACGCCGGTCTCTCGATTGCTCCCCTTGCCTGGAATAACACATTCACACATTGCTTTTTCAGTCTCAGAGCCCCATGCAGGGGGGGGAGGGAAGGACGGTGTGCCCCTTTTGGGAAGAGCATCTCCCTTCCATTTCCCTGGCTGCGATGTCCGTGCTGGGCAGCAATGGGCACTTTGCAGTGCTCCGCAGCCTCCAGTTGATTTGCTGACACGTGTGAGCCAGCCTTGCTCAGAAACGCCGATGTTATTGCAGCAAATCCAGATGTCGTGCGCAGGCACACGATGATTTCGGCGTTCCGGGGTTGGAAGGGTGCTTTGGCTGCAGGAGATGCGCAGAACGGGCTGCAGGGGGCCCTCGGCGCCAGGAGATGCGCAGCTCGTGGATTGCTCGTGTCTGGGAATGTGTGCGCAGCCGTGCAGCTGCCAGCAGTCTGGCAGTGCTTAGGGCATTGAAAACGTCTGTCTGCACGGGCAGGGAGCTGAAATATTTGGGGCTGGCAGAGCATCTCAGAGCTCAGCGCTCGGCGGTGGAGAACTCGGAGGTTCCGCACTCAGAGATCTCTCTCCATTCACTCTCCTGCTCCCCGACCTCAACAGGTGGAGAGCACAGAGCCAGGGAACGTTTGGAAGGGCCCTCCAAGGCCCTCCGGATCCAACCCCCAAACCACAGCCGCTGCCCAAAAGCCCAGATGGGAGCCGTCCGTGACACATTTCCTCCTCTTTTTGACCACCGCCACCATTGCGGGATGCTGAGGGCGATGTTGGGTTTTGATGATCCCCGCGGATGGACAGCCCACATCCGCTCTGTACAACCAATTCCAGCTCTTTCAGTGAAGAGAAATAACAATTCTCCCACTCTGCCTAAAGGGAATTCATTTCAGCGCCCGGCCCGCTGCCTCTCCTCCATTCGCTGGGCACCACCAAGAATCTGTCTCCAATCACACAGAGCCGGCCTGTTGAAAATGAGATGAAACATTCGTTTATAAGGAGAAATAAAAGGTTATTTTGGTCCCTTTGAAATTATTTACAACTTCAGTTTTTGTGCTTAAAATGAAAAGTAAAAAAAAAAGAGTATTTTGAGGATGAAAAACACCAGGCTTTGCTTGGATACACTTGAAATTAAACTCCTTAAAAGTTTTATTGCGCTGTGACATTCTCCATTTGCAATTTGCCTGCCTTTAATTAACGAGGAGGGGACCGAAATTCATACAGCTGAACACAGAGAGATGTATTTTTGGGACAGCCAACCATTTCCATTGCCTCTGCATGAAGAAAGAAAACGTTTTGCTGTGACGAATGAAAAGGTTTCGCTTTGCTGCTCTTCCTCCTTCATCCATTCGAACCATTCGATCTTTAAGGGAAATCGATGGTTTGTACACATCTGGGCTCCACCTGCAGGGTCCAAGGGAGGAGATGGGGGAGGATTTCCAGGTTTGGGGGCTCAGGTGCTGTTGGGGGTTTGGTGCTCCTGCAGTAGAGCCAAGCTGCCGAAGCAGCGCAGTTCTCCGCTCCTCCTCTTTGCTGCTTCCTTCTCGCTCTGTTGTGCAAAACTGCTGCCTGTGGGTACGGATTGATGAACGAGAGTGGATCCTGAAAGGTGGGGCGTGGAAGGAACCCCTCATTGTGGTGGACAGCATCCCATGGCACGCAGACCCCAAGGGAAAAGGAAAGCGAGTGCCCAAATGTTCCTGGAAACCAGGAGCAGCACCGTTCCCAACCGAGGCTGTGATGGCAGCAGCTTTCCTGTGGCATTTGATGCTGGTCAGAAAGGATCTCCGGGATCCCCGACCCAAAGCCATCCCGCCGTGCCCACTGACCACATCCCCGTGGTTCTCAAACCCCTCCGTGGGCGGTGACCCCCCCGCATCCCTCAGCAGTCGGTTCCAATGCATCACCACTCTTTTTGGAGAAGTTTCTCCCCGTATCCAAAGGCAGCATTGTGTGGCCCAGCCTGCACTGCTTGGCGTGTTGTACATCTCCAAAACCGCACCATTTCACCCACACTCTCCTGCCTCCACACCTGCTGGGCTGGGCGGGATGTTCTTCATGTGAGTGCGAGCAGGATGCAGGCTTGGGAAGGTCCTTGTGGTTTTATCCCCTCCGTGATGAACCCGGCCCCTGTGGTCCTTTCTCCTCTGGTTTGAAATACGAGGCTGGTTTTGATCTTTTCCTTTGGTCCTGCAATCAGAACCGCTCAGCAGCAGAGAGACGTCACGGGTCAGCGGCACAGAAAACGGACCTCCTCTCTGGTGCCCTTTGCGGAGGACAGAAGGTGATTGCAGTGGTTCGACTGGAGGGATTCGTGCAGAGGGATTTAATCTGCTTAGAATTATCCTCCCCACCCCAAGGGAGCTGCCGGTGATGGATTTGCAGGGTGAGCCCCGTGACATATTGTGTGCTGAGACAGCTTTGCACCTGCCCGCCTCTCGGATCCGTCTCCACTTCAAAGCAGGCGAGCTCTCCATCACCGGATGTCTCACGGTGCAAAGGGTGGCAGAACGGGGCAGAGGTTGTCTTTCTTTTCATCTTGATGTATTCATCAGTGCCGGCTACGTCCACACCTGCGTTTCGTACGGGTTGCTGTTGAGGTGCAGAGATTCGTTCCTGGTGCAGTGTTTGGCCTCAGCTTTGTCCCTTCCTAGAAAGGAACCGATGGGAATGAAGACATCAGGACCGGGGAACCAGGGAAGGCAACCTGGTTACGGGGCACGGCCTCATTGCACCACGGCCTTTCCAGTCTCTGGTGCTGCTCTGTTTTTTGGAGGTTTGAGCTCGAGGCAGCAGGGCTCAGCTGTACCATGGGAGGAGAACGGGGGGAGATCGAAGGCTCCCTGTGATGTCTGTGCTGGATTCCTTCTGAAGATGTTGGGTTTGGGACCTCGTTGGGAAGCTGTTCCTGATGTGGCTCCTTGGAACCACCTGGAGCAACGTGAAAGCTTTCCCTTCGAGCTCCTTGAACTCCTATGGAATTTGGAGCTGGCACAGAAGGCTCTCATGTTTTATTACCTAGCAATAAACATTTATGATCGCTGCTACTCGCGGAGGAGCGCATCGCTGCAGCAGGTCTTCAGGTGGTGACAGCACTGGGATGGATTTTGCCATCAGTTTGGTGGGGAACATTTCGTGCGCGTGGATTCCCAGCCTGCTGACAGCTGACATCCAGATAAGGGCTGCCCCCATCAAACACCCCGTCACCTTGACATCCATGTGTGCAGGGTTAATGAGGGCTTTGCCTTGCCTCCACCTTCACGCCCGCTGATTAATTCCAGCCAGGTGTCGGCGGCCCAGGTCTTAAAACAACCATCGGGGAAGCGTCTGGTAACATTTAG